CTGTTATGTTTGTTGAAGTACCTATTATCTAGCGTTCATGAGCGACTATTTCAGTACTAAGGACAGTTCTTGGTCCAGTAGCCAGCGGAGTTTTTCCTGCAGAAGGTCCGGTATTATTGATTTCTGCCTATGTTTCAGAATCCAGGGTCCATAGAAACCTCAAATTTGCGACCTTGAACGGACCGGAACGAACCGCCATCTTGGAGAATGGCGACGAAAATTGTTTATTTTTGTATTATCTCATCACTGATGAGTCGTAGCACAAAAATATATATCATCAATATAGAAGACCGACTTTCCTAGCAGTTATGTGAGTACTATTTTTCTGTACGACTTATAGTAAGGGAGCTGTAGCTTCGAAATTGTGCAATTTTCTATAAAATACGAAAATGCGCAGTTATGAGTCCCCATTACCCGTGAAATTTGAGTTGATCTCTAATCTTCATGTGATACCTACCTCACCCAAATCTAAACATGGATTTTCCCATGGTTATGTAGAGCTGTCATTGAAATTATCTCAAGAGATTTCATCATCATGTCCGATTGTCAAGTAGCCATTGAAACGCTGAGCTATATGGCTACCAGCTATGAAATGGTTTGGGAATGCCGGGAAAAACTGAACGAGCTAGCCAACAGAAATACAGTCACGCATCTATGGGTATAATTCGGAGTAGAAGTAAATGAAATAGCGGACAAAATCGCTTAATTATCATTAAAAGTTTTTCCCATATTATGAATGATAACAACTCCATCATGGAAGCTACTGTATGATATTAGAATTAGAAACAAAACTTAACTTCTTTGAACGAACAAATCACAAACAAACCATCACAATCGTCTATTATCTATAACCTATCTTACAAACAATAAACAGCTCCTTTGGATCAACATTCTTTGAGGGGAAGGGGTAATTTTTTTCATCTCTTGAAGCGCAGGAATAGTTATCTATACACCAAGGTAGTGAAGAATATCAGTATTACACAGGGACCAAGATTATATACCAAGGCTTCATCCGTGGAGTATAAGGTTCCGTGGTACCGGTACCAAGGTGTATGTAGTTTTTTTTTACCATCACTAGTAATAGTGGATTATATGAACCTACTGTCACCATGAAAGCACTTCACAGAGGTGTCTATGTCTTATTATTGACTATTGATTAATGAAAGGACGAAAACTACCTTGGTAGTAAAAACACAATTTACGCCCCGAAAAGGAGTAACTAGGTTTTATATCTTGTTGGAGAAAGGAAATTCCTATAATATCGACGCCCTTGTGCTTTCGTTAGTTGTTTGAGAGAATATAGTGCTGAGAAATACTCCTGAGAATTCGCCCTGCGGGTTTTGTCAGATCTCCGATTTTTTGTGCCCGAGCAGGGAGATAAAAGGACATATTGCGATAAGTGTTGTTGCAAAGGGACAATCTCTATAGTTGAAAAGAAAGCGACTCAAGGGAAAAAGGTCTTGCAGGCTTGGTTTGAAAAACAAGAAGTGGGAATACAGACGTCGTACACGAAAAAAAAAATGACAAAAAAGCCTCCATTCGACAATCTTGTAATAAAACAATATTCGTCATTGACATGTTTATATTAGTTTGGTATGTATGTTTGAATGTTTGTATGTATTTTTTTTCTCGAATACCTACTATATGGCATGATGTTCCGCCACCAAAATTTCAAATTGTTCCTTCCCCAACATTTCGAAAGTAACAATTTACTATTATACTCAGAGACACGGGCAGTGTTTCACGACAAGTAAGATTTTGACCCACTTCGAAACTTCGAATTAAATTTAAAGTTCCAACACTTATCAACCGACCGATGACAAGACAGAATGCCACCATAGCGCCCTCTTTGAGCAATAATGTCATATCGATACTTCCACGGAAGATGTTCTTCGGAAATCTCTGCTATCATCCCTTCACTAGCAATACCAATTAGACGAACTAGACAAGCCCAGTCAGCACATCCTTTCGTTGTCAATCTCGAAAGATGTCGAACAGCACTTTATCAAAACTCCTTCATCCATAGAACGGCTAGGCTCTGGAATTCATTTCCTGTGGAAGTATTCCCAACAACATTTACTTAATCTCCAAAAGTTCAAAAAAAATTTCAATACCTACCTCCTGTCCCTATCCTCCCTAGGAACGCACGATGTTCTTTGAACATTATAGGGATTCCCTTTCGTGCGCTCCAAGCGATAAAAAAAAGTTACAGATTCGTATTTCTCATGTCAGAAACCTCCAAAATCCCAGATTTAATGTTCATACTGTTGCAACTTACAAAGTAAAATGAGATATTTTGAAATAAAATCTTCCCCTTAACCACCCTGTATCTCCTAAACCAGCAATATTTTTATAAGGCATGTTGGGCTGCATCTCCATACTTGGGTGTTTACTATCTGAAGTTCAGAGATTTCCCATTCTCAATTCAATAAATAAAATTATTAAAATGTCCTAAGTGGAAAATGATTCTCTTCAAGAGCGAATAACACAAAAACCGTTGAAACTGTCTAATTTGATAAGGAGTTCATTTTTCATGTGAAATTGAAAGAGCTTTCAGATTTTCTACTTATTTTGATCATCAATGAATTGACACAGAAGATATGATGTAAATTATCGTAGTAACAGAGTGCCACTAGCCCCTCTATGAGCAATCACAAAATAAGGTGCAAATTCATATTTTTCATGTCAGAAAACCTAGAAATACAAGATTTTATGTTCATCCTGTTGAAACTAACAAAGTTATTGTGAAATTTGGAAATAAAATCTCCCCCTAGAACACCCTGTAGCTCCTAAATTAGTGCTAATTTATAGTTGCAACTATGAATTAGGCGAATATTATTGAAAAACGAAGTTTTTTTTAGGATGGCAGTTCAGACACGTCGTAATATATCGATTTTTCCATAAGAAAAAATTTGGAATGTGAAATATTGAGAGAGGTATCTGATTTTCCTAGCTCTAGGCGGTTTCAGTAATATCAGGAACTTTCAAGTAGTTATCCTACTAGGGCAACTTCTAACAATAACAGGTCACTACCAATATCTGACAATTCCGAATAGTTTGGAACATATATAATTGAGTTTCCCCATCATAAACTTGAGGAGATTCCTTGCGGCGATTTCTGTCGGAAGGGAATTGAAATCACCGGCGATGTGGGTAGAAGCATTTCCGATGTCTATTATCACAGAAACCCCATGATACTGCAATAAACCATCAAAGAGAGTCCTATATATATTTTCGTCAGAATACTCGATGATGTGATTCAATATATGTCTCGCAACTGATACTTTTCCTATACACTATGGAAAGACTCGAAAATTATACCGGTCTATGAGAAGGGAGAATCAGACATTTGCAACTACCGCGCCATATAGTAATTATCAATAACTTCTCAAAATCTTTTCAAATTCTACTATACGTTGAAATCTATACGCATGTTGGAAATCATATTAATCCAAGTCAACATGGTTTCTTCAAATCTAGTTTGTATCACAGAACAGTTATCACCATTTATGATAGCTCTCAATGCGATGTAGTTTACATCAGGGATTTTCTGAAGGCCTTTTGTACTTTGGACTTACTCCAAACCTGACATCATTTTTTCAATCTTACCTTCTTGATTGAAAGCATTATGTGAGATTTTATGGTCATTGGTCTATTGAAGTCCTTCCTACGTCAGGTGTGCCCCAGGGGTCTAACATCGGGCCCTTATTCTTCATAATGTTCATCAATGATATTGTGGATACATCACTTATTATATATAATAATATAAATTATCACCGAAGAGGATTTTCATATTCTACAAAGAAATCTTGATAGACTCAATGTCTGGTGCATCGAAAATAAGTTATTCCTTAATGTCTCCAAATTTCATGTTGTCTTCTACTGCCAAGCTTAATCCAATCATTTACAATTATAGGCTAGATAATGTCGTATCGAACCGACCTGAAACTTTTCAAGATCTAGGAGTAATATTTGACTTTTGTTTGGAAAACATATCGAGCAAGTCGTCAAAAAAACGTATACATTGTTAGGATTCATTATCAGAGTATCTAAAAATTATGGAAGGAATGAGAAAATGCTTTTACGATCATATTTCACATTTGTTTGATCGAATTCCGAATATGCATCAATAGTCTGAGCACCACATTGTCAGGTACATATATCTGATTTAGAAAATATCCAACGAACATTTTTGAAGTGTCAATGTTTTAAACTTGATGATAAATACCCAGATGTAGGTCATCCTCATGTACAACTTCTTTCAAGATTGTCAGTTGCTTCTTTTTTAGATCGTCGTAATAAGTCACATGTTATATTCCTTTTCAATGTTATCCACAAAAATTTGACCTGCAGCTGCATTTTGGAGATTATATACTTTCATGTTCCCAGACTCACAACCCGGAGAAATAATACTTTCTACGTGCCTCCGCTTTGTCACACACCTGTTTACAAGATTTGTTCTATATATAATACGATGAATGAAACCATTGACATTTTTTGCAGCAGTTTGGCGACCATAAAAAATGGACTGTTCTGTCTTTTCCAATGTATGATGTTTATTTACTGAGGAAATTATTTTAGTGATCCATAAAGTATATTCCTATTCTGTAATTGGATCTTGTATCTGTTGAATAGTGTAAATAAAAAAAATGCATTTGCTGGGAAGAAATATTATCTATATCAATAAGTATTTGGGCAATCCTGTCTATCAATTAATAGTATCTTCCTCGTTACTCATATAATTTCCTCATTTTATCTGTTTGAATGCAAAACAAATTATGTTTCTCATCAGTTGGGGCGCACGAAAAGGAATCCCTGTTATTTTTCTGCAAACATGGAAGAGTCAGAGATTAGTCCAGTCTCCTTCTCCTGTTATATTTTTCAAAAAACTTAGGGTAGATTCATCAACAACTGACCCATTCAATGATACAAGTATGTCAAATTTGGGCTGTACAAAGAAATACAAACAATATTTTTATTTACCTAGATTGTTATTATCATTTATTCAAAATTTCTCTTATTTGGGAACGGAATATCTCTTCTTCCAAACAATCAAAATGGTTCATCATTATCTGTCAGTAGAGTCAGAATTTGGAGATATCGATGACACACGACAGTCGTTGTATTCGTGCCAGGTATTCTAGGCAGTCCCTTGGTGGTTGTAGTGGAAGTAGGACTACAAGGGCTAGACCATCAGTGCGGTTTCATCGAACCTGTTGCTGTGAGGGTGATACAAAACGAAGTTCACATCCACTCTGGCTACAACGGCAATAGCGACGACATGGTCATGATGAAGGTCAAAGAGTCTATCCAGGATTACTTCTCCATCATATGCAGAAGAGTTGAGGCCTGACAACCCATATATAAGCTGTCAATTTGGAACTCCTATTATCTATCAACACCAATGTCGCTAAATCGTTATTCTTACATCACTGAACTCGAACAAAAATAAAAACAAGCGTGTGAACAAAAGCACAGCAAACATCTTCATTTCCCAAGACTATCTCCGCATCATAAATGGCTCACAGTGCCACGACTACATAGTCTCCATACGACGACCAATGACAAATAACAATCCCAAGACAGACACGATTACGTCTCTACACATCTCTCCTTCTCTCATCCAACAAGGATGGATCCTCACTCCTATTGCTTCAGGTACAAGTCAAGGTAAAAGATTGTGGAGAAAGTAGGACACGTGACTCTGCCCAGCGGAGCTATCCTAGACGACTTTTCCACCACATGCAGCAGAGTTATGTTGATGAGTTAAGGTCTGACACAACCCATATTAGATGAGCTGTCAATTTGAAACTCCTATTATCAATTAACATCAATGTCGCCAATTCGTCATTCTTCAGTCAATGTCCTTCTCATCTCAATTATCTCCCAACTCACTATCGAAATTCCACTTCCTAATGAAATAACACTGAACTCGAACAAAAAGAGCCACCAGAGTGTCATGAAAAACAACTCAGCAAACATCTCTAATTCCCAAGAAGATCTCCGCATCATAAATGGTTTACAGTGTCACGACTACAGCTTCGTAGTCTCCATACGCCGACCAATGGCCAATTACAATCCCGAAGATGCCACGAGTACCTCGCAACACATATGTGGAGGTTCTCTCATCCAACCAGAATGGATCCTCACTGCAGCCCATTGTTTCAGGAACAAGTCCTTGGTGGTGATAGTGGGACTTGATCATGAATACGGTTTTCCCAAACCCGTTGCTGTGAGGGTGAAACGGAACGAAGTTCACATCCACCCTGACTACAACGGTAATAGAAACGATATTGCTCTGATGAAACTGAAAGAGTCTGTGGAGAACGTGGGGTACGTCACTCTACCGAGCGGAGCTATCCTAGAAGACTTTTCCACCATATGCAGCAGAGCTCTGGTGATGGGCTGGGGCTTGACAAGCTACAAGGGGTCCTCATCGAAGGTTTTGAATTGTGCCAGAGTGCCCATTATCTCCCTGGCTTTGTGTCGTGATCTGTATGTTCATTTGGACTTGGTGGATACGGAGATCTGCGCTTTTGACAGTTATGGGGGAGTGGACGCTTGCAATGGGGATTCTGGCGGTCCTTTGTTGTGTAGGAGCGTTCAGTACGGGATCATTTCTTGGGGAGTGGGTTGTGGGGTGAGTCCTGGAGTGTACACCCGAGTAGATCGTTATCTGGAGTTCATAGATCAAGTGCTGGGAGTTAGTTCGCAGGAGATGTTGGAAGGTTATGTTCTTGTGATTGTTCTGTTCATGGTTGTTGCTTTGACATGATTTTTTTTATTATCTTACAGAACTTTTTGTTTGCAAAATGTATTTCCATCTGAAATGAATTGATGAAAAGTATACCTAACTGTAATAATAGTTATTTATTATACAAGGGAAAAAAGTAGTAGATTTTAGCTCCAGGTTGTGTTGTCTCCCGACGCGTAGCGGAGGGAGACAAAAAACCGTGAGCTAAAATCTAATATTTTTCCCGTGTATAATACACTATTTTTTTCTGTGACAGAAGGAAGGACAAATCAATATTGAGAAGATATTACATTATTTCGAAATCTGAAAATTATCGACGTGAAATTTCAAGTTTTTAACAGTAGGGACACCTGCGTTTTATAGACATCTTTATCATTCTTTTGAAGTAATCAAATATCTGATGTCACTTCTGTCAGTTCAATTCTCTGATTTGATTTTAAAAAATCGCGAATTCAGTAGTTGTTTAGTAATATACGAAACCGCGAAGTCGAATGGAAGATAAAAGGACTTGCAGTTCTTTCTCGGAGACGGTATTATTGACTCATTTTTCGGAACTATAGTACAACAAAAGCCATTAACAGAGTACCTATATATGTGATATATATCCGGGAAAGAAGTACTCACTTTTTTCCCACGGGAAAAAAGTAATTTATGAAAAGTGACATTTTATACCCTGCCAACAGAGATGAAATGCCAAACTTTTTTCCCGTCACAGAAAAAACAGTGTTTATTTTTCAAGGTACTGGAAGCAGTTGAAATCAAACCATGAAAACATAAATGAAACAGACCGATTTGATTCTTCATCGAGAATGGTGCATTATACCAATCAAGAAAATGTGATACAAAATCAAAAAGCCTGCATCAATTTTCTGTTGTGGGGTAAAAAGTATAATTTGGCCTTACATGGAATCTGAGCCACTGACTGCTTCTATCGAACCCGAAACTCAATCATTGGCTGAAGGGCATTGTAAGAGGAAACTGTATGTTAACATTCTTCGTTATTCAACGTTGCTACAAGCCGCGGAAGCAACAACTACATAGATTGATTATTATTCAAGGTGACCCAAAATTAGCGTGCAATACTTCACCAGCAGATTTAAGGATCATAAATTAGAAAAAAAGTTTCTATAAACATAGGTTTGATAATTTTTCATAAATCATTAAGGTATGAATTATGAAATTTTGCCACTACAGGGCGTTGGAACTTAATTTCAATTCTTTATTTTTTTTGCAACACCTTGTTTCTTGGATTCGTGAAGAAATTTGTGACACATATTAAATATCATTGATATTATGATTGATGATTTCATACGAAGAAAACTAAGTAAGAAAGAAACTACAAAAATTGCAAGTAAGAAACTACAAAAATTGCATAATTCTGAAGAGTATCAGGTATGCATCAAATTGAATTTGATCAAATAACTTGCGCACAAAATCTAAAGGGAGCTGGAAGTCAGGTATTTAATGAGAAAACAACATTCATATCTGATCAGTTTTTCGGTCACAGTACTTCAAATAATTATGTAACATCCTGTATGGTAATCGAAATGGTATGGAATGTCCCTGCAGTGTATCTCCAAAATTTCAGAACGACATTAATAGACTATAATACAGAGAGGAGTGAATGGTATCATTTTGTACAGACTTTCAGGAACACCGTATACAGGCTGCAAATATATCCCATGCAAAATGCCAAGATCCACAACACAATCTTCTTTATTACGTTGTTCCTGCTGACATCTGAAGAAAACAATGTGAATTTATCCGTAAAATTGAAAGCTTAGGAGCATCAAGTCGCTTGCTGCAATAAACCAGGGCACCCAAGTCCCCAAGTGATACATTGCTGAAGTTTTCAAGCTTTAAAAAGATGGAAGAAACTCGAACAATGCCATTTTAGGGTAATAAATTGCATGCAATATATCCTTGAGCAGAAGTTATGGTAGAGAAACTCTATCAGTGACTGATTCAATTATAAACGTCAACGTTTTTGAAGTTTCAACTCATCATTTATTTCTATACAGGATGTTTCAGGTTTCAGTATTTCCGGAAGGCATGGTCATCATCTGATGTTGCGATGACATGAAAACTACGGGAAAACATTCCTAAACCTGGCTTAGATTGAAAGTAGTTCAGAATATGCGATACGCCCTCTTGTGGATATTCAAGTATAACAATGAGAAGTACATATCTGCTTGCATTCAACCTTCCATGCATGCATTTTATCGAAAGTTTAGTAGTCATAGTGATATTTTTCGAATTTGGAATTCTCCAGTAGAGTATCTTGAATCATTATTGCTTGGTTTCATATCCCTAACAACACAGGGATGTCCTAGGTACGTCCCTTTTTTGTCCCGCGGTACAAGGACATGATTGGGACATCCAGGGGATGTCCCGCAGGGGTTGTCCAGTGGACATCCCGCCCGGTACATCCCTAGGTTATCCTATTTGTGTCCCTGGAGTATCTGATATCCATTCACATCAGAGTCATTGAATTTCATCAAACTATTGAGTTGAATTTTTTTGAAAATGTGTTTCTCTTCCGGAAAATGATTGTAATAAAAATAAAGAATAAAGTCTCAGTTCATAAATCTGTTTAGTACATAAATCTTCAGGAGGCATGATAGCCAATGGATCAAGGTGCGTGCATGATGAGCCAAAGATCCCGGGTTCAATCCCTACTCGACCTGCAACATTTTTCTTTTGTCGAAAGGATGTCCCTGGGATATCCTTGGGACGTCCTAGGGATATCCTTTTATCGTACTTGGTACATCCCAGGGACGTACCAGAAGGACATCTCTTGGATGCCTTTTTTAGCGGCCAGCGGATGTCCCTGGGACATCCCTAGTATGTACGTTGTCCCGACAAAGGACATCCCTGGGATGTCCTAGTATAAAATCAGGGACGTCCATGGGAAGTCCCTAGGATGTACTGGTGTTGTTAGGGATGTTATTAATGAAAGTTTTCTGCATCTCACAGAAAATGATGATTTCAATCAGTGTATAATTGAGAGATATTTTCTCAACTTCCAGATTGTATTCAGTTGCATTCCATTCTCAGAAGTGAAGTTACAGAAGGAATTTGAAAAAATGAAATCATTATTCGAAAGCAGAGCGCATATATGTTCAATTTTTCCTACCAGAGGTAGATTAATTATTCGCATATACAATGTGCGTTCAATAGATATAATTCAATGTTCGTCGTGGCATATAGCCAGGAAAGTAGTTGTTTTCTATTGAATAAACTGAAAAAGAGTAGATATTCTCATCACATAGAGGCGAATTCTCAATGTATTGCTTCATATATATATACAGGGTGTTTCATAATTGAATGCTGATACTAAAGGGCGATGATCCTTGGATGATTTTAAGGAGAGATGTTCATATCAACATATGTCCTAAACCTCTTAGTTTTTCAGCTAAAGGGTGTTGAAATCAGAAGCGTACAGCATTTTTTTAAACTAAACATTCAATATCAAGTCTACGAGGACATCACAGGTAAAAGTAAAAGTTTGATTTTTGTCCCAAAACAAAATGTGTTTCTACTTATAGTGGGTGTCTACTGAATTACCAAAAACAATATCCAAGAACTGAAGGAACAAAATTCTTTGGTTTTTATTTTTTTACGCAAAAACGGTACGTTGTATGAAAGTGAGACTAGGAATCAAATTTGCTCCAAAATGATTAGGAATTGAAAAAAAAATCTGGTTTTCAGAAAAATCAGTGGCGTACTATTTTTTTCTCCAAAAATTGTCAGTTCAAACCCCGTACGGACGCCACTGGTGGGAATTTTTAATTATCTTTCACGCGAAAAAATGCTCCTTAATAATGAAAAGGTGTATACAAAATATCATAACAATATCTAAGAGTGATAAGAAATTATGATGAAAAACTCATTTTTTTCTTGAAATTTCATCACCCTGTAGCTCACTAACTAAGAGGTTTAGGACATATGTTGATATGAACTTTTCTCTTTGAAATCATCCAAGGATTATCGCCCTCAAGGATCAGCATTCAATCATGGAACACCCTGTATATCCATTTTTGTATGTCCGTAATTTATCTGAGAATATTCCTTTTCAACACTTTCATACCCAATCAGGGAGTTCAAACTTGAACGATGGAAACTTTCTTTCCACGCCCTGTATGATGAATGTCAATTTATAATACACTCATTAGATTGAACTATTCAAATAACAAATTTTTCATCCTTTGTGTGATTTTTGCATCTAGCTGATGAGTTTTTGAGAAAACAAAAATATTCGATTTGACTCCAAATTTTAATGTAGGTGTTCTCAAGACTTTCATTGAGATTACTCAATAACCCCATTTCGAATAATTTTGAAATCTTGGGGCTTCCTCAGTCTCCATCCATACTGAATTTTGGCACCATGAGTGCTCATACAGGGGATTTATAAATGAAAACAAGTGATACTTCCAACTTCAACATCCTGTATCTCAAAAACGGAGCAAGATAGGAATCATGTTTATATGTACTTCATTTGCTAGAATTTCACAAGGAAACATCCCTTGAATTGTTTTGGTGTTATTCAGATACACCCTGTATAATATCTGCAGAATATCCTATCCGATGCTGTAATATTGAGTCACCATATTTCTATTTCCCGTTCACGACAACGAAGTTATGGCTTCCATTATATGGCAAATAGCGGAAGCATTAATAGATTAATAGCTGCTTTCTATCTCTCAGGATCTTTTATACCAGTCTGGTTTCCGTTTTATTTGCTCTTCCATTATGTGAATACACCTCCATATACCCAGTGTTCCATACTATGCTTCGTGTATCTTGAATCTTCAACAACGTGCAATAGAAGGTCGAAATAGTGCGATTATTGATATAGGCCACGTTTATACCGTGTCTTGGTAAACTGACTAATGATTATATTTTGAATAAATACTCTTGGTCAGTTTGGTATAGACTGTATACTTGGTAAAGTTACCAGCTTGGTTTGATACCGAAATTGTTTTGAGAAAAAGACTAAAATAGTATGATGACCAAGACGGTGTCAACATTTTGGTCTACTTTATCTTATCGGTCTCCATTCTGTACAGCGTGTGACAGCGTGGACATGAAACTGGAGAGGAACTTCCCATTAATTGTTCGTAGTTCTGGGACATCCTGTATAGATGGTGTTTGACTTGGCAATCGATATAAGGCTAACCAAAGGAGCTAACTCATCATGTTTGTGGCTTATCGAGTATTTTTGTTATCATAGAAGAGTAGGAAAGAGGTAATCGAACCGTTGAATAATTCCAGAGATCTCCCGGAAGGTTTGAATAAAACATTAGTGAGTATTTTCTTTTCAAAACTTGTATCTCGTCTAGTGGATTCTTCCTTATAATGATAGGGTCAAGGCTATCGAGAACGGACCTTGATAAAGATAAATAAACATAAAACGAGCTTGGGGCTTGTAATGGAACGACGCTCCATCAGCACGTACAAACATTGGAATACATATTGTGGAGAATATTTTGTGCTTCCTAGGTTATCCATATATCCACCACAGGGTGTATTTTAGAT